GAACAATTCTCTAATGTCTTATTTTGTGGATTATTTGTATACATAAGCGGCATGTTTCTTGAAAGACAAGGGACTTTTATCTGCCTAGTGCACCTTTCATTTGAAGAGAAGCCACTTCACCAATATGATTCCATCTGCTTTTATTAGTAAAGCAATATGTTTGAACAGTTTGCCTGTTAACTAGTGAACTTCCAAGCATTTCACTGCGCAGGAAATCCAAAATTTACTACAACAAATCATCATCACAACAGTGAATCCACTGAAATCTCAAACCGGCATACAAGTATGATTCAACATCGCTTTTTTGCGCAGTCACTTTCTACATGTCCAGTTTTTAGTGTGTAACTACTAGATACATAGTTACCTTGGAATCACTGTTCTCGCAAAATCAGAGTATTTCATACAGCCTGAATTGAACGAACGTCACCAGCAAATAGTTTCTTACATACTGTTCTATGTACAATGTCCTAATTATTTGGCGTCATTTTCGAGACCTCGTGATTAAGTTTGGTGCGAAATAAAACAAAGTAGCTTTTACTACTTGTTATCCAAACCTCAGTTTCTGCAAAGATCGGCCGAATTTGTATGTTTTGTTTCTGTAGGACGTCCTAGGCTGATGCGATCCACAAATCGTTCGTCGTCGCTCTGACGGAATGATTTTTCAGGTAGGGTTATCAATCTGGGCATCAAGTGCAAGAAATTGAACAAAAGCCGCTAAAGTGGGAAGGCTCATCTTTGATACGACAACGACATATGGAGTATGGCAGACATATATAGGCAAACATGCAACCCTGTAACTTTCAATTAGCAGACTAGAAGAGGTAGTGTTTTTCTTATTATGTAATTTCAACTCTTTGTCCGCAATTTTCTCGGACAAATGGATGAAACTGCTTTTAGGGAATTATTTGGATATACACTTACTGTTGGCATCATGCTTTGCTACAGCAGAGACGACAAAAGTAGTCAAGAATCTCTCATGATCTGTTTCTTTGTGTTGTGAAAATTATTTTCCTGAATGTGCGGCATTTCATTTCTGAGTTTTTGCAATATGTGCCTTTTATTGTTTAAGAGAATTTTGTGAGTATTTGCATCACCTTGCGTGTGAACTGATTTATTACTCACTGAACGTTTCACTTTTGCCTAAAATGTTTTAACGCCCGTTATGTAAAATGACATGTTATTAATTACTTATTTAAAAATTCACTAAATTTCTCCTTTTTGTATCTTGCATGCAAACATATAATGACAAGTGAGTTGATACTTCTTCGAGGAAGAATTTGGAGGGCGATTGTCTATGAAATAAGCTTTTGTTATTTAGTACCAACTTCTAACCCATATAAAGAATCAGGTGAAGACCCCCTGCCAGGCACCATATTTGCTCGACCCAGCCAAGCATGCACATCAGAGAAAAACACTGACAAGATGCTGAATTTCTTCTATACATTTAGAATTTACTGTTTTTCGAATAATAGACAATTTTGAAACTATTTATGAAGAACTCAGAAGTATTTTTTTCCACGTCTCAATCTCACTAATTAGGGAAAGCACATACCTTCGTTTTCTGTTCCTAATTTATTAAGATTAAAAACGGCAGGTGAAAAAAAAACAGTATAGGGGGATAAACTTTTATACATTCGAACAAGCAAGCGAGGAAAAGAACTGATGGGTATCCCTGAGAGATATTTTTTGTTTTCGTACGCAGCGGTGACCCATAACCCACAATTTATCCCAACACAGTCCATCACAGGTTATATTTTTGAACAGTAACGAGCATTGAAATTTTATTTATTTTTGTATACATTGTTTTGTTAGGAATATTGTTAGGCCTTTGTAAAAAACGGACTGTAATGGAGTGATATGTGGCAGACACAAGCCTCTTTTACAATTGTTACTTTTATCATTTTCACTCCAATGAGTCAGCGTCCGAAGTACAGGTCGTTATCAAACGTGCCAGTAAATACCGAAGAATGATGGAGGTATAGTGTTCGACGAACATTATGCGCTAAAAAATCTCTATTAAGGGTCGCGTGTAAGGAACCACGAGCTTAGTAGAAATCAATAAGACTACCTTTAGTAAAATATCCAAAACTATTTTACCAAATACCGATTCTCCGTTCTAGACTTAGGTTGGGTCCTTAAAGATCAATCGAACATAGCATTTTTAGAGCGGTACCTGTCTAAGCTACGCACATACTACGCACGTTTTATCCAAAATGTTAGACAGAAAGAAGACTATTAAAAATTCTCGGAAGAAATTCTACCGCTGCCCACAAATCATTTTAGCTACGAGAGCTCTTGCAATCTCGATAAGTCTTGACTTTCAGTAGTGGTCAGGTGCTGTTTTATTTACCTTTGTTCTTCAGGATAAAACCGCATAGCTTCAAACAAAAATTCTCATTGCAACTGAGCGAATAATTTGCCAATTATTAAGAAAGTATGGAAGGTCTTTGCCGTTTAGCCTGTAAGTGATTTACACTTAGTTTTATGGTCAGTTGTATACTGATGGATGTGCGTTATGGGATATTCATTATTTTCACCCACTGCTACGGAGTGATAGAATTGGATACTGGGAAAAACAAAGTGGAAGTTCAGGCTGCCTGCACATGTTGCAGTAGCCCAACTCATAGCCCCTAGCCATTCTAGAAAATAGACACGGTTGAGTAGGCTTCGCACTCGGTTCAACGTCTACTAACGGAGCCTACAATAATGAATGAAGGATTTTGGCAAGTGTATTTTACCTACTATTATACATTTTAATCAAAAATAACTCCGTTAATCTCGAGGAAAAATTTTATTTACTGTCAAACTGGTTTAAAGCTTTCAACAACTCCCAGGTACTACAAACCTTTTTAATCGAAGTGAACCCAGGAAATCAGAAAGGATCATGTCAAGGTTAGAAGAATGAATATGAAAACAACGTTTTTACAAACAAATGCTCTTTGCTAACTAGTGGAATATTGTAAAACCACTGCACTACATTAAGCTTCCTCCCAAAAATTCCCCTTCCCAATTTAGTCCGGAAACTCCAACGGCTACGCAGAAAAATCTTCCAGTCCCGATGGCAGATTGGCATAAATGGGGACTCATAAAGAAAGAAGTCTTTATTAGACTCTAAGTAAAGGGGAACCACCCAGCTGCTATACTAAAGCACAAACTGTACCCTGCGATCAGTGGTACTTAGTGTAGACACTCAGGTAATCCTCTTTTCATCAGCGAGGTGTCAGTTGCTAGCGTGTGCCGCATACCGCATTTAGTCTTTACATGTGGTAAGCTAATTTCAGTACTTCAGTACTTCAGTATTTTACTCCTTATTGGCCTTTATTGAAAACTATGTCCACTGCTCAACAATGTGTAGCATGTGTATCCAAGAGACCTAGACGCAGACCATCAGGCTGTCTTGGAATCAAAATCTACAGCTGATTGGCCTATGATGTGAGTGACTCCATTTCTCAGTTTTAATCCCATTTATTCTTATGTAGGAAGTCAAAACGTTTTTGCGTGCAAACAAGTAAAGAGGCAACGTCGAAATCTAAAGGAGAGGGCATTTTTATAATTCCATTCAACTTGTAAAACTGGCAAAAGCGATCGGGAAGGATGTTGATTAATAAACAGTGCAACCTAGGCTGTCAACCAGACTCGTACTGGTGGTGATGCCCTACGGAAAAAAGGAACTCCAAACGTGAATGCAAAACACCCTAAAAGCGCTCTTTAACATAATTTTCGGCTCATGTTTATTCCACCTATTATTATTTTAGGGTTTTCTAAGTTTAATACAATACTTTATTTAGGACAAAACCATGAGAATCAGCCATTATAAGATCTTCCGTATAAATTGAGTTTGAAACTTTACAAAGCCTCTCACTACTTATAAATGCTATGTTCATCCTTTCCTCAGGCAGTTGATCGGCACTCTAGGTTATATTGACTAAGCACTAATCCCAACTTTACTGTCCTTCCCACATGGTCATGTCTACTTGTTTCAAAACTGACTGAGCAGCCAACAGATGGTGTATTGGAACGAAAGCTCCTGTGTTTCTGTTTTCAAAACTAATTTACCATTTCATCTGACAACCGTTATAGCACTGTACATTTTATTAACAGTTAAATGTTACGCTGTGTTCTGCTGACCTTAACCGATAACTCACCCCAATGTTTGACGAAGCTCATAAAATGTACAAATTTCAATGTATTTTTTCTTTGCGAAACAAATTACTCATAAGGTGGTCGAAAGATTCTAGACAATCCGTGACCGCTTTTGCTGTTACTGGAGCTCAAATTATTGTAACCCAGAAGTGTATCTTTTGTGTTACTCGTGGGTGTCCTCCTTTATGCAGAGAGTGTACTGGACCAGCAATTGGGTTCGTTGTGGGAATTGTTACGCCATAAAAAAAACTGGTCTGATGATGTACTGTGTAAAACTGTAGCACTTTTATAGTAAAAAGTGGTTATATGGATATCTGCTATCAGGTATTTTTTACTAGAAATCTGTTTGGTCTGTTACCATAAACGATGGTAGACCAGTATTCCGAGGTAACTCCTTATATATTGGTAACTTTTTATAGCCAGAAAAAAGCAGACGTTTTACGATGTATTTAAAAACCGTTGCGTTAAAAAACTGAACTATTTAATTCCAGACAAAATATAAATCTTCCGAGTTCATCTTGTGCCCTTTGTGTCACACAATTAGATAGTTATCTCTTGAGTGTTTGGCCTACCGATTGTACCAACACTGAAGCTGAAGCAAAGTTATTATTTTGGCGAGATATGTAATGTATAAACAGGGTTGTTTGATAAAATATGTTTGAAAAAAACAACCTATCGCTACGAAATATCAACGTATTGTAAGAAACATCACCTGCTTGTTACCAACTTGGCCAACTCGCAACCGCACACAGATAACCTATATAACTATCAGAAACATGTTAATTCATACAATTTTAAAGCACCTTCCGAGCTGCCGATGACATAGTGTAGCACAGAAAAAAACTGGGTGAGCTCACTGAATCAACCTTCCGCTTATCCCGCTGAGCAGCAGTTTGTTGAACCCATGATTCTGTCATCGGTTGTGTCGAAGCGTTCGACACATCATCCACAATACTCTGCAAAAAAAGAAAAGATTGCGTGTGGTAAGCATAACTAGTGTAACTAATGTTACAACCCGTCACCGATTCAGTTTATTGAACGAAGTTAGGATGTCATTGGATTACGCAACTCAGACGATTCGAATTCAGTGAAGAAACCGGGGTATTTTGTAACGGCCCCGTCAGTATTCCACTATTACTGGGACATAGGGTATCAAAGTATAATTAAGGTCAACTGACTTGACTCCTGGAATCCGCCGATCGATTATGACAGGGCTAACCCTTACTCAGGAGTATAGAATAGTATAGTATAGAAGTATAGCTGATATAACAAATTATTTTTCATTTCACTGGCTAAAAGCTTGTCGAATACTCTTTGACAGCTCAGCACTGGCTTTGCTCCTCTTGCAGGGATATTCCCCTAGTGCTCATTGAACCTTTCTGCTTGAGCATTAACTCAAACTATCTTTTGTAAGATAATCTGAACAACGATTGACCCATTGTACTCAGCCCTGATCAGAAAAGTTTTGAAATTGAAAAGCAACTTTAAACAAACACTCATTGCAAGGCCAACTGTCAGAGTGTAAACCCCTACCAAACGTGAGAATGGACAGAAAATCCTTTATTGACATTCATGCCGATAATTTGTCGGCAGCCGCCTACCAGAACATTGCATTAGATAACTGTGAGACTCACCCCAGCAGATCCAAAATTTGCACGGTCTGAAATGTGAGGCAATTAAAAGATTTCGTTTAGCAGGTCTTCACACATGGGTCTTGCAAAAAACCTTAAAAAAACCGGGCGTGGCCATCAGATCGAGAGTTCGAGTGCTTCACTTCAGGATTAGATTTATCCCAAAAATTCAGCTTCTTCAAGGTACTTTCTATCAGGAGTTCACACCAAACACCTACATGACTTAAGTGTACCGGACTGCACCCAGAGTCCCCTCGCGACTGTCTTGGCTCACTAAGCATTCTTACACTCTTGAACCTTACCGCGTATGTTTTTTATCATGGATCTTATATGTTTGTATGGGTTTTTTGCAAAATTCAGCATGCACTCTATAAATGTGCCACCACATACACCCTCACATAAAGCAAGTGTTCTGACTTATACCCACAAGGTCAGCTGTTACGCTTTTTGTCTACTAAGAAAGATATCTGGGAATCCTATTAGCCCGAAAAACCAACAGACGGCCAAATTGAGCAACGGCCGGGTGCGGTAATAAAATTTTCACTCGCCGCAACGGGTCAAACGGGATAAAAGGAGAGCTAAAAAAATTGCATGTCTTAAACCATGCAGAAAGAAGATCACGTTTGCACTACAAATGCATACACCGGTTGTTTCCACCCAGGAGCAGCTTAGTCAGCCTTCACCCCGACCAAACGATTTGGTTTTTGGCTTGTCATAGCTTTGAATACTGACCTTGTGCGTAGATATTTTGCGCTTCCGAAAAAGTATTCGGTGCAAAAACTATGCAAACAGAAACAAAGGAAGTACCTTCATGCTTCAGAATAATAGGAGTTGCGAAATGGATAATTAAAAGCGTAAAAACTAGAGTGACAGCGCAGAGCTGAGAAGCACAAAAATTGCAATAAAAAGCAACACATGCACAAGATGTCACGTTCACAAAAATGAGTAAGCGGATGGACGACACCCGGGCATTAAAGCTAGAAAAAATGGATAGGCACATACATCGAACACGCCGATAACAGCGTTTGAAAAAAATTTCTTCCTCAGCTGTGTTTTCCGTATTATCGGCTTGTCGAAATCGGGCGTCCTGTCCCTCAGCGGCAAATATATTCCTTGAAATGTAAGCACTGTGCTCATTGGCATGCCTATTTTTTGCGGCTGAACGAATGGGTGTTGGAGGGTTGTCTTCATTAAAAAGCATTACGCTGCATGTCATGGGTTGATCGTATGCATGGTGTTTTTGCAGCATTCTATTGGTAACGGGAGTGAATGCTTCAAGAGGTCCCTGAGAGGACTTTACCCTTAGGCTCTCACTAGCAGCCGGATGCTCTCCATCTTCATCAACGCACATGGAACTCAAAGGAATCAAACTGTCATCAAGATAGTACTGTTCAGGAGAGGAGCATTCTGTAGATGAGCTGCTATCCGTTTCTTGAAATCCACTATAGTGTGCGATTACATTTTGCTTAACTCGGTTGTCAAGAGGACCTGCAAAATTTACAAATGAACTGAAAGTTTTGAAAGAAGAGTGGGCAAAAGAAGGGCTAAGCAAAGTCATAAAATGAGATGCACTTTCAGGTACGATTACAATCAATATACAGAGGGACGAGCGAAACTCCTCAGGTAACTATAGCGCAGCGTCATGAAGCCGCTAATTACATTTGGTAGCATGGCGAATATACGGCAAATTTACGCGATGAAGGTTTTAAAATACTCGTCTGATATTAGGTAATCAACTTTTTCAACAAATTTTGTCCTATGTGCTAAGGCAAGCATTATTTTTGATGACGTCTAGTCCATTATGCTCGAAATCCGGATTCAAAGTATCTCACATGATTATGCCTGCTTATTTGTCAATTGTCTAGCGAAGAAAAAGGCTGAGTTTAAAGTATGAGTTTCAGTAGAGTAGAAATGGCCAATTACATGAACTAAAAATAGCCCATTTGATACATTGGTGAGTTCAATGTAGCCAGGGTTACACAATGATTTGATAACACATCCGAGAACAAGTTATCCAAGTGGTTAAAGTGCGAAGCGGTTACTGGCCGGAAGGTCTGTGCTTCGAACCCGAACTCTGCCTGTCGACCTCCCCTGTCTAGGCTTGCGCAACCTGGCAGTATCCCAGCCCTCGTACTTCCTTCGTGTGGCATGGCATCTAGGCACCGAAATGGTGCTACAGCTGAATTATATATATATATATATAT